CACAAGAATGAATCCATCCACTGCCGGCAAGCCCATGCTAGCGTGGTTAATTTTATTGCCTCTTCCCCTGCCTCACATAAAATGTCTGTCATCAGCCTCTATTTACATGCAATATCTTTAGTCATCATGAACTAATCATTGAATAAAGACTAATACCATCTAGTTACTGTAATTAATCATACTTGTAGTGGTCACTCTAATTAATTGTGCTTACTCTTTATCCCCCTTAAATACTTCCCTTCCTAGATTACACCTAATGACTCACGGACTACCCACATTTTAATTACAAACTAGAACTAGTTAATTTAGAAACTAGAACTACCACATCACGAGAGAAGTTGTGCTATCATGTTTTATGTGCCATGCGGGGAAGAAGCGACAGCTTTATAGTTCAGGACTAATTATTTACGTTGAGGACATGGGTTGGACATGTATCTATTTCAATATTCATACATGCTCATAAAATGGTTTGCTTACTCATTGTTTCCTACCTTAACCAGGGCTTAAAATGCCGTTCCGAGGATATGCACTCAAATTCAAGATCAAATCAATTAGGAGGACAATTCCATTTCTTGCCTGTTGTTTGTACCTTTGCTTTATACAGTAATTGGAGTTTGATTAGTTTTTCTTTGCCAGTGATAGTATCATGTTCTCGACGGATGAGCTTTCAGAAATTAAGAGAGTTTCAACTGGACCTCTTCGTCTTCTAGGTTTCAAACCATTAAGTTGCTTAAAAGATTATCACAACTTGAAGCCGTCGACCTTTGTTTTCCCAAGTGATGAGGTTTCTTTCTTATAACTTATGTTTACCTGTTTTAGTGTACATACGCAGTAATTTTATTTTTTGTCTCATTCTAATTTACTGGCTGTTTTGTGCTTTCATCTATATGCTTTATGAATTAATATGACTAACACCCCCCCCCCCCCCCCCCCCCCCCCAAAAAAAAAAAAATTCTATCTTCGCACGCATATCACACATACATGGGCTTCCAAATGCACTGTACATACTCATTTTCCTGATTTATACTAGCAAAACTTCAGGATAGGTATAACTTTAAAAGATAATGCAAAGCATAGAGCATGACCATATTAGATTCTAAAGAAAATGAAGGTTCAATAATTGGAATCTTACGTGATTCTACAGAAACTTGTTATCCTTTGTTAAATCATTATTTTTGTGGGCGAAATCAAGTTTGCCTGTTACTCTCAGGAATGATTCTCAATTATAGCGTGAATTCTTGCACAAATCAGACCAAAGATCATATTTTTTTTCTGGCCCTATTTTTATGTCCTCGAGGTGCAATAAAATCAGTCTTGTTTGTGGTTCTAAAGTTTTTAATATTCTTTTCCCTCGTCATTAAATTTCTCAATAATTCTTCATTAGCCATCTTGTGTTATTTGTTAAGCATAATGTTTTCTTCTATTAATTATTTAGAGATTTGGTGCAGGAAGTGGTTGGAAGTACATGCATTTTCATTGCTCTCCACGGATCCATGTTGCGACTGAAGCGGTAAGTAGACTTGCAATATGTCTTGGTTGGTGGCAAAAGTATTGATAAACGAATTTCACACATTCATTTGGTAATATATGGTCATTTACCGTGTTTTCAAAAAATAAAAAAAAATTGAGGTGCATCTAGAGCTAGGTGTTCATTAGGACCCTCAAACCATATGCTTTCAGTGCCCCTTTGTTAAGGCTTATGCCTTGGTTTACAGATTCACAAACCTCGGGGCATAAGCCTGAGAGCGGTCGAAGTGTTTGCCCCTTAGTCTTCCCTTTTTGGGATTTTATTACCGGTCTCTACCATTTTTGATTGATTTTAAAAGTTCAGAAAAAAGTGCTTCTTGAGGTTTTTTAAACACAATGCAGATCTAAAACCTAAAAAAGAAAACAAATGGAGATTAGAAAAGAGAAGTTAAGAACCTTTGTGTGCCTTGGCTATTTCTTACAACAAAAGTTCGATCTGCCAATTGACATTGCAAAATTTTGGCGAAAAATTGGTGGCACGATACCTTTGGTGGTTACTTCACTCTTCTAAAAATTTTAGAATAGATTAAGCCCTTGTTTGGCTCCATTATTTGAAAAATGCATTTTTCTCTCTTATTTTCAACCACGCGTTCTCCAATAAAATAATATTGCTCGTAAATCCAAAACTTTTTCTTATTTTTTAACCACACATCCTCCAAAAAAATCACTATTTCAAAATACATTTTCCCCAAAATTATAATGAAGCCCAAAAAGGGGCTAAGGCTTATTCCTCAACACACCTAAAGGCTTATGCTTTACCTTACAAAGGCAAGATGTCTCGTTAACCAATTTAGTCCTTTTAAACACTGGTTATCTTGAAGTAAGCTTAACTTGTCTTCTGTTTTCTTAATATACAGAAAGGTGAGATTTTTTTTGTTTATAAATTAAATGAAGGATGTAATTCTTCAACAACCAAAGGCTAACAGACTGAGTACTTCAAGTTGCTGCACATCCCTACAGTATTACATGCACATACCCATTTGCATTAATAAGCTTTTGTTTCCCCTTGATATGTAGTCTGTTTAGATGATGATAGTGACCTTTAAACATTTTTTGTTTCAGCATTTCTTTTCAAAAGCCTTGTTCAGTTAGTCTTATAGGGGATCGTAGTGTCAATATATATACTCCATATGTATCTTGTGTTTCAATTTAAGTGACCTGTATAAAGAACCAGAGACTTTAAAAGAAAAAATAAAGGAAGAAGAAGATGAAAGAAAAAGTACTTCTTGTGATTTATAGGTTTAGGAGCAGAAGAATGGTTGTTGAATATGGGTAGCACCTTGTATATTTAAACTCTCTTCTGTTTCCTTACAAAATTTTATTTTGAATTGCAGTTTTGCTGTTGCATTCTATGGGAGTTCAACCCATCCTCAATTGGTGGCTCTGGTCGCACAAGTAAGATGTTATTTTCTGTAAGAATATGAGAGGTTATTTTCTCTTCGATCCAATCACTGTGTATCTATAAGTAATCACGACATGAGGAAGAGAATGGAATCCATGGTACACAGCATTTACAAAATTTGTAATACATGCTCAGCTTATGTGCAAGTCAACTCATTGTCCAAGTAGGAAGCATTGATACATATTAGGAAAGGCTAAAACCAAATCATTTATAATTCCATAGAGGAACTCAAATTCTTGTTCACTAATTATATTTACAGCTCCCTAGTTTTTTCCCAAATTCACAACATTTTATGAAACTCAATGTGAATATTATTATTTTCAAAAATCCGTTGAACTGCAGGAGGAGATAATGAGCACCAGTGGTCAGGTTGAGCCACCTGGAATGCATATGATATATCTTCCATATTCTGATGATGTCAGGCCTGTTGAAGAGGTTGGAAGTATGGTTAAGTTTCTTAATAGAATCCTTAATAAAATCAAGAGGTTTGCATTAAGAAATTTGATGGGATCTTGCAGCTTCATACTGATACAAATGCCATGGCACCTCGAGCAACTGATGACCAAATTAAGAGTGCCACTGCATTAGTGAGGCGTGTAGATTTAAAAAGTTTTTCAGTTTGCCAATTTGCTAACCCTGGTAAGTTATTTTGAAGGGTAGTCTTATATTTTGGTAGAATTCAGTTACTTTGCCAATAAATGTTGACATCCTAGTTGGTAGATGTATTGGTGGTAAGAAATGATTGAATGTAAAAGTTTATTGTTTTTAAAACAGTCCATGTCAAAATTTTATGGCAATGTAGCATGGTTGATTTTGGAAGTATTCTTTGAATAGATTTTCCCGTTTAATTATTATTTAGTTATAACTGAAATTTCTTTAGTTTGGACTTATATTTGAAGTTAATGAGTGGAATTCATCGACTGAAACAGCTTATTTTCCCATTTGTCATCAAAACAACTGGCATTTAAAGAAGAAAATTACTCCAGGAGAGAGCTTGATATGATTACTTTGTTTAAAAGAATTAGAAGTGTATGCCCAATCTGAAGTAAGTTGAAACAAGAAAAAGAAATAGAAAAACTGGTATGCAGAATCAGGGTGATGAAATACAATTAATCATTGCAATGATTTTAGAACAGTAATACGTGCACTACTTGAAAATTATCAAGCATCCTAGGGCATTAAAATACATAGCCGAAACTTAAAAGCTAGTGCCTATGCAATCATCCTAAGGATGAATCAGGTATATCATGATGAATTCTTCTGAAAAAAATTTCTTGCAAAATGGAATCATGATGTCATGATTGCCTTTGTTAATCCAGAAAAGCACATTTTAATTGAACCTATATTTGCTAAATAGTTGGGCCAAAAAGGTTTGTAATTTCCACGGCGGTAGATGAGCCCTTTCGTGCAGATGGATTCGTAGTGTCTAGTTAATGTAAAATATTGATTGTTTTACATCAATATTGGAACTGAGATGTGATAGCATCGCTATTAAAATCTGAATGAATTAACACCGTACCATGTTGTCGGTGGGCTAGTCTATTGGATTTAGCTCACTTATTGGGCAGAATCCACCTGATATCATGCTTCTGACAAGGTGAATTCTTGTCTGCGTCAGCTGAAAGCGTACTATACAATAGTCGTGATTGCATCGAGTCAATTCTTTGATTGGATGAGTGATGAAAGAATAGAAAATAGATCTTCCCTTAATGATAAAATATTAGATTTGTTGCAGCAAGATGATCTGTCCAAGAGTGCTGCCTAAACCTGTGAAACTATACTGAGTAAACTCATTTCATATAATTGTGTAAAACTTCACGAGACAGAGGAGGGAAGAAGTATTTTCTCTATCTATTACGTAAAATCCCTAATTGTTTTTATCTATACAAGTTATTTACATTATTTATAGGAGAAGTCCCTATAAATGAGATACTATAAATTAGGGACACATATATTCAATTCTAGTAGCAAGATGATCTGTCCAAGAGTGCTGTCTAAACCTGTGAAACTATACTGAGTAAACTCATTTCATATAATTGCATTATAACTCTGCTTGATAATCCTTATTTGATTATTTGGTCATTCAGTTGCCATATCATCAGGATTGTTTTTAAGAGTTTATTAAGGGTTGCCTCCATATGGATGAAAAGCTTCATTTGGTTAATAATATGATTTTATTTTTTTTCATATTTCTTGTTTGAGGACACCTGGATCTTGTAGTTTTTGAACCTCTCTCGTTAACGTTTTATATTTTGCATCAGCTTTCCCTGAATTTTATTATTTTTCGAAGTTAACATTTCCTGGTTCAAATGGAATATAAGTTGCTAAAGTGAAAATAAACAGCATCTTTGATTACAAAAAAAAAAGGTTACGAGGATAAATATTCTCAAATTTTCACTTCCATAGAGATTGTTACGGGTATTTGGTCTTTCCATATATGTCATCTCTGATCGTGGGTTTCTACTTGATGGCAACATTTAGGCCCTGTTTGTTTCTAATTAAAATCAGATTTTAATTTAAATCAAAGTCAAACAATCAATATTAACCACATTTTTCATGGGTTTCACAACTTTTCAACCACACATTTCAAAAACTTCTATCAGAATCTACTAAAAATCAAATTTTAAACCCCACCAAACACCCACTTAGTGAGCTGATAGCACTTGTCCATGTTGCAGTGTACAACAATGTAGATAATATTTTCATTGTCAGAAGTTAACTAATATACTAAGATAAATCAATTGTGCATCTTTTTTCAGTTTTATGCTATAGTAGAACTTGATTGATTCGTATATTTCTATTCTTTTCTCAACTTGCGAGACCATGCTAGGTGGTATTACATGCATGTGCTAATAGTTACAATCCATTGACTCCAAGCCACTAACAGCCTTGCAGAGACACTATGCTGTATTACAGGCTCTAGCCCTGGACGAAGATGAGATGCCTGATGTCAGAGATGAAACTCTTCCCGATGAAGAAGGCATGGCCAGGTAATAGGGAGTTGATGCTTAAACATTCTATATTCCTTCTCCCATAATGAATCTTTCCACAAAAGTTTGACAATATGGTTGTTTTTGTCTCTTAATGGAAGACCGGGTGTTGTAAAAGCATTGGAAGAGTTCAAGCTTTCTGTCTATGGAGAAAATTATGATGAGGAGAGTGACTCGATTGCCAGTGGAAAAACTAGTGACGCCTCCAAAAAACGGAAAGCAATTGCTGATAAGGCGACTGAGGAGTCTGCAAAAGTTGACTGGTCTGACCTCGCTGACAAAGGAGAGGTGACTACAATATAAGTTCGTCTTAAAGTATCTAGGATGATAATAATATCAATATTATTTGGGGACACTACGAAATAATAAATGTAAAGCTAAAAATAATCCCTTGTAATTTTTTATATCCTCCTTCATAATCCCTCTTCATTCCTTTTTATTATGTTTTGCAGTTGAAGGAATTGACAGTACCAAAGCTGAAGTACTACCTGACTGCAAATGGCCTATCTGTGTCTGGGAAAAAGGAAGATTTGATCAATAGGATCTTGACTCACTTGGGTAAATAATTATGTAATGGATTTATATACGTTTTTGACTTTGGGTGGATACTGTTGAAGACAAACAAGACTTTTTGAATCCAATGTGTTACTAATCAATCTATGTCATCATGCTAAGCCATTGCTATAAAATAATGCTATCTATATGGAGTAATATTATTAAGTTCCATTGGTGCTAAGCACTAGTATAGTTGTCCATTAAGTCCCTGTTTGGTTTTGATTAAAATTTAATGGTTTTCTTGACAATTTTGACTGCTGTTTATGCGGGGCAACCCTTGATTAGGTACGCTAATAAGCTAAAAAGTGACACTTTCACATTTAATTTTGATTCAATCATGCTATTTGTACAATCTTTTTTTACACTCTTTGTTGACAATCATACTTGACAACATCACATTTAGCCCTTGTTTGACTCCTATTAAATTATGTTACATTATATTAAATTTTTTCATCTCTTCATTTCAACTACACATTCATCAAATAAAATAATATTACACACAAATCAAAAAAATTTTAACCACACATTCACCCTTCAATTACTATTCTAAAAATTTTCAACCCTCAAAAATGCAAAATAATGGGGGCCAAATAGGGGCTTATTTATTTCAAAAACTGTTTTTAAAATTAATAGTCTAAATTTTGACAACATCAATGTTGTCATCCATCATTGTCAAACCACAATTGTACAAATCAATTAATTCATTTTGATTTGTTGTCAAACAATGATGGGTGGGATAATATTTTAATCCACAATTGTACAAAATGGTCCTTCTATTTCATTATTCTAAATTAAAACATTAAAAATGAAATCCAAAGTGATGGATGGGATAATATTTTTATAATCAACAGCAACTTTGAACTTTAAAAGTAATGGATGAGATAACATTTTTGTAATTAATGGCAACTTTGAACATTTTTAGAGTTCAATAACAATGGGTAACGTTTGAAAGAATTCAATGGCAATAAACATATATAATCCTAAAGTTTACGTTAAGATTTTGGACCAATATATTTGTGTTTTAATTTGTTTGAAAAGTGTTACTTTCATGTCACTAGATGCATTGTGGTTTGAAATCAAATCGAACCAAAAAAAATTGTTTGATTTTAAGGGTAAAATGAGTTGTTCAGTTTGGAGTTTAAAATAGTTTGATACGAAAATAAAACAAAAAGGGTCCAAACTGAACCGTGTCTACCCTATCTTCAAGTGACAAAAATCATTTATTAAATTCTATTAAAAAAAATATTCATATATTTGACATGAAAAACCAAAAGAGCAAATTCATTATTTAGTTAAATCAAAAATAAACCATGTAAAACTTCTATTAAAAAAAAAGGACCATGAACACTACATAGGGAGCTTAACTAATAATCCCTACTAATATAAAAGAGGCAATCCGCTGGCTAATGTTCATTTGTGAAGCATTTTGCATTCTCATGTTATCCCCCATCAATTAATGGTTTTCCCATTTTATCCTTTCCACACCAAAATTTGGCCGTCTTTATTGACTTAATTGATATCAGTATTTATTTATAATATAAAAAATTAAAAAAACCTGCAAACCTACTCAGTGAGGAGAAATCGTCAATTGCAGTTGACTCCATGAATATTTTTGTAGTCGGTTGATATTTTTAAAATATCTTTCTTCATGTATTGGAGAAGTAAATATCAACAAAAACTTATTTCACTTTCATCATCGTCCTCTCCAGCTTGTATAAGAAATTCTGAAGAAATTTATTTCACTCAATCATCGTCCTCTCCAGCTTGCACAGATAAGAAATCCTGAAGGATTGTTCTTCGAACACAGATATTTGAGATTTTCTCATCATCTTCAGCTTGCACAGATAAGAAATCCTGAAGGTCTGTCCTTCCAGCACATCAAAGTTTCCTTGCTCTATGCATTTATTTTTCTCCAAGCGAATTCAATCTATACTTTTGTTTCTCTATGGCATGAGATCTGTTGTGTTTAATGAAATTAGTTTGTTGTATTTGTTAAAGGCATCATTGGCTCCTTTTTTTTCTCTGATTGCTGCTGAAAGAAAACAAAAAATGGATGTACTCTGCATAATGCGNACAAATTCTATACCTCCGCATAATACGGAGCAATAAAAGATTTACTCCGCATAATGCGGAGCAATGCTATTTATGTTAAGAGGTATGATGGTATAGATGTGCCTATGATGACCAAGTGCTATGTCTCCAAATTCTATGGGTGTTCTCATGTTCATCAGCTCCACATTATATGGAGTTGCTTTGGTTACTCCGCATAATGCGGAGTGCGGTTGCTCCACATTATGCGGAGCTCATGAACGCATTATGCGGAGCAACTGAAGTGCTGTCTCTGCATAATGCGGAGTTCATGAACATGAGCTCCGCATAATGCGGAGAGATTTGAAAACTAAAAAATCATACTAAAAAATTCAAAACTATCACCTGAAAGATATATAGATGCACATAAACATATATACCTGGAAAACATTAAAATATATTAGGTAAAATTCTTTACAAATCCTTCACCCTTCACGCTAAACAAAATGGAAGAATTCCACCTATCTACACACAATTATGCACATTACCAAACACATACCTCATGGTCATGGAAACAGGAAACCCAAAGAATAAATATAATCATTACTACTTTTCAGGAATTCATCATATTAATTATATAAATTATCCGTGCAAATCATGTCATATGAATATAATTATCTTAAAGAGACTAACCTAAACTACCTTGGATAAAAACAAGCACTCATATAATAAATTCAAAAATTTCTTCCGTGTCTCCGCACCCGCGCCTTTTTTTATTTCCTTTTCTTGTTGCCAAAAAATCTACTTATTTACATTTTACACATACTCATTCAATACATACCTATAATAAATTCAAAATTTCTTCCGTCTCTCCGCACTCGCGTCTTTCTTGATTTCTTTTTTCTTTTTTTTTGTTTTTCCAAAAAATTCTAATATTTACATTTTACACAAACTCATTCCATAGATACATATAATAAATTCAAAATTGCTTCTGTATCTTCGCATCCACGCCTTTTTTTATTTATTTCTTTTGCCTAAAATTCTACTTATTTACATTTTACACAAACTTATTCCATACATACATATAATAAATTCAAAATTCCTTCCGTCTCTCCGCACCCATGCCTTTTTTTTTATTTCCTTTATTTCCAAAAATTTACTTATTTATATTTTACACAAACTCATTCCATACATACATATAATAAATTCAAAATTTCTTC